TACATTAAAATGACTTGGTTCTTGATAGGTACTCTCGTTTTCCAGGAGAAGATAGCGTAAAATGCCATCTTGAGTGTTACAGACAAAGGGAAAGACAGACAGACAGACAGAAATTGAGATAAGACTCGTTTCTGCTTATTTAATGTATAAGACGTAAAAATAACCTAAAAATATATAATTCTGAGCAATGTACAGACAAAACTCTAATTTTATTTATATAGATAAGGTATGTTACTATTTATAAAATGCTCATGGCTCTATATATTTTTATTGTAGAAATAACATGGCTTCTTTATGGGTTTTGCTTATTGTAATTATGTTTATCTTAATTATGTGAGTCAATTACGCAAATTTTGGTTAGATATTGTGTTGAATTTGGATGCAAAGAAACGTAAAGTAAAGGAAATGGGATCCAGTTTTACAAGTAAGTTTTAAATAATTACTTAGGTACTGTATCAAGAAATGTCGCTAACTTAGGCCTATAGACTGGTCAGGGCTTCAGATAACTTCTTACTGTTTAAAATCAGAAGTGCATTTTAATTTGAACTATTAATTAACTGAATCAAATAGATTCTTGTATTTTTATTTTGGTAACCATACCTACTAGCATGCTACTAGCCTATACTCGTACCTATACTGACAAGTAGTAGCGTCAGCTCCATTTATCAATCATAGGCCCTTCATAGCTATTATGCCATTATCATTGACTATTGCTATTATTTACATTTCCAGGTATAGGTGTTGAACTACAATGTATGTGGATTTATGGAAACTAAGTCTAAAGGTTACTGTGAATTAAGTTAAACTATTTTTTAACTATTTCAGATTTCTATTAAATCGCCCAAAGCTGTTGAAATCCTAGGAAAAGGCTGTCAAAAGAAAAAATCGGAAAGAAACAGTTTAGTATTGATTCTTTGCAGTAAACATTTATCTGATGACACGACGATGAAGTTTAAGTTAGATAAGACTTGGAGCACTTGTCAAGCTCCTTAAAGATGATGACGCTATACTCACCGATTATGTACAGCAGTTCAGAAAAAAAAACGCCGCCGTGGACAACTTTTCTATGGATAGCCTGATATTGTTGAGGTAAGATCTTTTACATCTTAAATACATATTAAGTTAAGGTTTGATCATAATAACATAATGATCATAATAAACCTAACCTAACTCTGCAAAGCGCTGTACAGTGACATTTCAGGGGGTTACAGAAAAAATAAGGCCTAGGTTGTTTGACAGTGACTGACTGACCATTTGAAATGTAATCGTTGCCAGTGGTCGTGCCCCCTGTCTGGTATTACTCCACCAGAGAAGCAGTCCATCTTTAAAATACCTTAAAATGAAAGTCTTCTGTGCCTTAGAAAAATTTTAAGGTTGTTTTCATGTATTATAAGATCGTACGAATAGGCCTACTTAATTTTAGGAAAAAATAAGCTGGCATCGCAAAATTTCACAGACACAGAAATTGGTGCTTATCAGCTAACTTATAACTTATGATAATATTTTGGCCTTAAAACTCAAGCAGACCTTACTTGGATACTTGAAGTCTATGTCGTTGACCGATGATATTGGTATGACTGCGTCATATTTACCTATAACCCTATCAGAACTACAATACTACCTACTATAATATTCAGAAATAATTAGGCTGATGTCCTATTAAAGAATACAATTTAGCCTACAGTGTCAACATTTCAGGTGCTAAGTGTCTTTATTGTTATTCATGCAATGTTTTAAAGTCCTCAGATTATCCTAAATTTTTCCTTCCGGATCGATATCTGCCATATGAATCTGGTGACAACCTTACCTAACATAGGCCTAACTGCCACAGTGAGAGTAATAGTGACACTAACTTATTACTCTCACTGTGGCAGTTAATAGTGGCTGTAATTTTAATGAAATCCCTGTAAAAAAAAACAATAAATTGTATTAGCTAATTTTGGTTGCACTTCCATATAAGGCCTGTGGCACAGCAACATGGAAGTATTTAGTGTAAAGTAATTTTGTTTTCTGACGGAACTTTGAAACCTAACTATACCTGATTTAGTATTCTATTATTTTTACTTTTATTACTTCTACCTGGTGTCAGCGCAAGTGTAGCCTTGATTTTAAATTTTTACAGCTCATTTCAGTAGAAGCGAATTATTATCTCACACTAACAGTTTTGTCTAGTTTGGTTTAATCTTGATTGGTTTTTTGATTGAAACAGTTTAAAAATCTGAATCAGTAAAGGACCACCTCTTACTTTTTTTATCGAGTAATGTTATAAAAAAACTAAGGCCTTTTTTGTTTCAGACTCCAATTGAACCCATGGAGATTAAGACGCCAAGACAAAGCACAGGGAAAATCAAATAACGGACATCAGCCAAATCCACCACAGCAAACACACTCAAATTGATAGTTCAGTTTCTCCAATGAAAAAAAACTCCAAATGTAATGATCTAAGACTTGGATAAAAGAAGATTCACTTTGTTTTTGTGAGATATTTAAATACACTGTATTTGACTAATTAATTTGTTTTATTTACTAAACCTCAACTTCCTCATCAATAAAATTCCTATTGTGCCTATTGGGGTTTCTAAATTAGTTAAGTTACTCTTGCCAAATTTATTTTGTTTTATTTCACAGTCATTATTTTTTAATATTTTCATTCTTGCAATTTGGAACTTTAAGTTATTCAAAATCCTTAACTGTCCTTCAGCATTGGAATTGTGGAATGTCAATGTTTCACAATAATTATAATTGCCTAATGAAGATCTCAACTTATAGCCAAGACAGTCAAACGGTAACAGAGGTAAAAAAATAACATTTTTTAGCACTCTAACATGGATTTTTACATAGCCTAACTTGAAAGAATCTAAGTTTCAGAGGTTTACTGTTTTCATGCGTCTTGTTAATTGCCTAAACTTAATATAATATAAGCTATTTTGAAATTCATTTAATCACCCTTAAAATGGTGATTCTAATCTAGTAAGGAATAACTTCCTGGTATTGTGTCTTTAAAAGTCTGATATAACAAATTCAAGAATTTTGTAAATGTAGCCTATTTGTGAGTGAATCAGAATCATAGCCTACAGTAATAGGCCTTAAAATGCATTCATGGTCATGCCTTATTAAAATAATATATTACTTTTATTTGCTTTTACATACAGTTCTGCAGTGCTGAACAGATTGTTATAATCAAAATTATTATAACTGTATAAAAAAAAAACTACATCTATTACTTTTAGGTCATTAATAATTAGTTAGAAACGTTAAAGTATGATTTTTAGCCAGGATAAAAGAAAAACCGTTGCCCGCCGGTCGGTGTTGCGGCGTTCAGTTGTTATCGTTGCCGGTTGATCAGTTCAGTTTTCAGTTGCAGTCGGGAGTCGGGCGTTGCCGCGTTGTCCAGACAGGATGCGTTATTCTAATTCTAGTTCGTTTCCGAAGTTATCGTTGCTCTGGTAGCGATGCGGCAACGGCAGTGCATAGTGAATGTTTTCGTTTTTGTAATAATTCGTTGTCCGCGCGGCTTCCCTGCAACGTGTGGTGGGTGTGGGGATAGATACGTTATTAGAATAAACAGGGAGGGAGTTCTCGGCTCTCGGCAACGTGTTGCCGCAATAACGTTGCCGCAGCCGCAACACTGTTATTCATCCTGTTATGTTAAATAACGCCCATCTCTAGTTCGTTTCGTTAGTGTAGTTTAGTTAGTTTTGTTGTAACGTTGTTTTGTTGTTTACCGTTACTCTCTTTACAAACGAACCTTGGTGTACGATGAAATTCAGAAAATCTATAGATTTTTAGTTTTCGAGATGAAGGAAATTAAGTAAACCTAACCAATTATTATTGAAGAACCAGCACAAATGTAATCAGTTTTCTGAGGCTTAAGTTCATGGTTTGTGTAAAATAACAAGTAACACTGTCATTTTAGGTTAGTTCGTAATTTTAACTAGGTATTCCGTATTTCTAGTCAAACATGGATAGGTTTGAATATTGTGACTCAAGATTAGCTGCTGGAGAGAGGGATATGTGTATAGAAAGAAATGTTAAGCTGTATGATGGTGATTTGAAGGTAGGTGCTAGGTAAAAAAATGGTTAGAAAGCTAGTAAGGCTTGCCTACTTAATGTAGACCTTTAAACAACCTATAAATACCTTAACAAGGCTATAATATATGCTGTGTATTAAACCTGTCCTGCTCAGACCGAAGTCAAAGACACTTGGCCAGCAACACAAATGCACCCACATAGCACCGAATATTTATTTGATATCAAATAGCTATCCAATTTTTGACATTTGAATATCAAATTGATATTCACGAACATTCATTTGATATCAAATAAACGTTCAATTTAGGTTCAAACGTCACTCAATTTTACATCAAATGAATATTCAAATTGAATATAAAATAGCTATCAAATTTGACATTCATACATTTATTGGTAAAATATGATAAAGAGAATATGATTGAATTTACATTCACATTTTAAATATGATGGTGATAAATATTGATATAACATTTTTGACATTCGAATATTAAATTGATATTCGCGAACATTCATTTGATATCAAATAAATGGTCAATTTAGGTTCCTCACTTAATTTGACATTAAATAAATATTAAATTGAATATCAAATAAATGTCTCATAAATTTATTGGTAAAATATGTTTAGAAGAATTAGGTTGCATTTTTTCACATTTCAAATTTCATGGCGATTAAAATAATAGAAGTTCAGACCTCTATACTGTTCTTACCTTGATTTGACTTATTATTCTGGAGTTATAGGTAGGGCCTAGTTTGTTAAAGTTCTTGGGTTACCCAAAAATGTAAATAAATATATATATTTCTTATTTGACAAAACATTAATAAAAATATCACAAAACATATTTGTTTAAAACAAAATTGCATTCAAGGAAAACATTTTAAAGAAAAAACGTTGTTTGTATGATAAAATAAGTTTAATTCAAAATTATTTAAACACAAATATAAAAAAGATATGTATAATTTACAAAAAAAAATAATTCTGGTCTTCTTCATCTCCCAAATGGCCTTCTTGATTTTTCTATTGTTCCTGTAAAATAGGTTCAACAGAGTTATTTTCTAAGACAGCTATAGATAAAATATAATATGTTAGGGGTCTCCAACCTTTTTTTCATCGGTGAGCACTTTTTTGTCTAAAAACTCCACCGATTTAGCGACTAACGTTAATTGTTCGTTACTCTATCGAATCACAACATCACCTACTATCGATGCGATTGTAGTTGTCGTTTGTCACAAGGTAAAGGCTTTTTGTGATACGGACGAAATGAGAGCATTCTATTATAAAATTAAACTGTCATAACCTAACCTAATTAACCAAACTTGCTGATAGTGAAAAAATCGAATTAAGGTTTACTACGGACAAAATAAGAGCATTCTATAATTAAACTGTCATAAGCTAACCTAACTTGCTGATAATATAAAAAATATACAAGATAAAAATCGAATGAAGATTAGATTTAACAAGAGCTTAGGTTTGCTGCTATGGAGAAGGTAAAAAGTTTTTTTGAGCATACGTCAATAATAGGCCTATAGGATAAAGTAAAACAGTTTGCCAAATTTTATCAAAATCTATCCATAAACAAGAAAACTACATCAGTTTCCATTTTTTAATAATCTAAAATATAGTTCTGTTCATAAAATAAAATTATAAATGCCTCTAATTCTAACGAAAGATGTGCAGTTAAGAAGTAATCGCATTCTAAGCTAAATCTTTGACAAAAAGTGCAATGATTTTTTAGTGAGAATAGGCTATATAATTTGACACTTAAAATGTCAGCTAGTTTAAGATTTTAATTTGTAGTTCTGCCAATTAGGATCAATTTAAAATATATATATTTAAATTAATCTGCCGCTACTTGACTACTGTTAATATTCCCCTAGGCCTATTGATAAAAAATTAGCAAGTGAGAGACATTTACTATGTTCCTATTAAAATATGTTAGCCTGCCAACTTGGAGACAGAAAATTGTACAAAAATTTTGTTGAATGGGGAAAAGACAGTTAATTGCTCTTAATTATGGTATGAGCCGCGAGGTAAATAAATATTTCATGGCTGAGCCTGCATTCATTGACAACGTTCTCTTTTTACACCTCAAGGAAATCACGGTCAACAATGACGGGTGTTGCTGGGATTGCAAAAGACAATCACGGCACCGTCGAGACTGCAGTATAATATGCTCATGAGTCTTGGCGAGATCACGGTATAGCTGAGACCACCTGACCACACGTGTTTACGCAATCGTGGGAGAATATCATTGGTGTTTGCTATAAAAAATAATAATTTTCAAAAACGTATGCTGGCTTTCTGCTCGCTGGAATAAAACTGCACGAGGGCCGGATGTAGCCCGCAGGCTGTAGGTTGGAGACCCCTTGGTTAGACACTTTTAAGACCTATTTTTTTACTATAACTATACTTTATAATTAAATTTGTTGATAAGGCATTGAGTTCTTGACAATAAAGAAAAAAGAGATGGATAAAACCGCAAATTAAGTTTTGCTCATTTGCATAGCCTGTCACTGAAAATTCACAATTGGAAAAGAAAACATCACAGTAGTTAGATGTAGACCTACTCTGTTAGTTATGATAAAATTTAAGTTCTATATTAGGTAATTAGATAAGCAATCTTTTCTTTAACCTAAATTATAAATAACACAATAAATTTACCTTGCATCAATCCTAAACTTTGCTGGGCGAAGCCAATTCTTGATTATAGTAGCAACAACATATATTTCCATTACACCACGATCCTAGTGTTCTTGCGTACCGGTACTGCCTCTGTATAATAAGAGATTTGTATTAGCACTAGAATTTGTATATTTTCATTTTCCTGATCAACACCCAGGATAGCCTACAACTAGGTACACATATTAAATTGTTAGTGAAATCAATTTTATATTTTGATGGTCTTTGCTTCTTTTGAGTAGCCTTGTTAAAGCTAAATCTAAGTCTGAAAATTGAAAGTTTTGACCTAGGTAGTGGTAAAAGTAATCCTCAGTCACTTAAACGGACAAAAAATTGGGGTGAGCACTGACTGAAATGAGTGCAACGGTCGGATGTAGTTTGGTGTGTGTATAGGCCTATGTGTGCGTTTAAAAAAATTCAACTAATACAGTTTTCTTTTACTGTAGGCCTACATAAGTTAGCACTGCCGGAATATTTATATAGTGTAAATCAAAGACTTCCTATATAAGTGGGTCACAAAAAAGAGAAACTCTCTTAACTGTGTGATGAACCTTAGGCTACGTTAATACCCAATAGGTACCTATCATGAATTAGCTTGTGTTTTGGCGGTAGGGCCTAACTTACCTACAGTTCCTAAGAGAACCTGCGATATATTATCGGACAGTATATATATCCGATTCGATATTAATATTGCAAAACCAGATCACCAAATCTGCAAATCATAACTCAATTTGATGTTTACATAGTGAAAAAACATAGGGAACGATGTATTGAATCGGATAATTCCATTGATATATAATGTTATTCATCCGATAATATATCGCAGGTTCTCTGCGGAACTGTACCCGTTATGGCAAAAAAGAAATACTTAAAAATCCCCAACATCACATAATAAAAGGTCACAGCAAGAAATTTTATGGCGAATCAAACAGAAAAATTGAAATAAAAACACGTAAGATTGAAACTTTGTAATACCTACTACAGGTAACTTATTTTAACTTTGAGAAAACCTAATTGAAATATATGTAAGTCTACCTATTATTAATGTCTGATTGTAAATAAACAAAAAAAAACTTACGCAAGATAGCTGGCTTCAGATGCAGATTGCAAAAGAAAAATGTATTGGTTCCTCCTTCCCAGCCTACAGGCTGCTAGACAGCCACTTTGTCACTCGGGAGAATTGGTAGGTAAATTATTCACTGCTACCAAATAATAACTTCCACCAAAGCTGCAGAGTTATCAACTGAAACAATGGAGAGAAAACTACTTTTAGTTAAATTCATGCATACCTTTCTCTGGCCTAAATATGTATCAAGATTAGTTAGGCCTAATCTTTGGTTGGTAAAGGAAGCAGACAACAACTAAAATACAAAAGACTAAGAGACAATACAGGGGTAGACTTTCGTATCTGTTGTCAAAAACAACCGAATGAAAATTTTGATTGTTATATATTTATTCAGTTGTTTTTGACAACGGATACGGAAGTGTACCCCAATTCAGTTTAAAATGAAAATGGATTTCAAATAGGCTACCTAGGCTATTTCTTTTATAATACCGGTAATTGTAACCTGGTTGAGGTAGAATAAGTTAGGCCTAGGCTAGCCTAAATTAAGTTAACTTATTCTTGATGGTGAATTTACCTAAACTTAAGTTAGTGACTGACGTAAAATATAACCCACATAACTTAGTAATATTTCAAAATTAACAAAGTATCACAACACAGTATGGTATTCCATTTGCCTTGTAAACCAGTAAGTTAGTCCTACTTACTAGCCTATATATTGAACACTATTTTCATCCGGAAGTTGCCCTAAGCTAAATAAACTACTGGTTCAGTAAGAACTGAGCAAGCCGCCTAACTTAGTAGCTTATGCCTAGGCCTAACTTGTATGCAGAATAATACTTCCTCTAAAACAGATTGCCTATTTTGAGGTTTCAGATTTATTTATTTATACTTAAGGCATTAGGAATGATAAGTTGGCCAATTTAATTCGTACAGTAACTTAGGTCTAGGTAAGGCCAAGGCCTAAAATACGTCTATGTTACTAGGTATAGTGACTTTTATACTTACATGCTCCAAGGATCAAAACGTGAAAAGATGTTGTAGGTTATGCCAATACCCAGTCACAAAAATAACAACTCCTAACCTAACAGTGACACACACTAAACAAAAGATCAAAACACTTAAGTTAACTGATTTGAGGTTATGTCTTGTTCTTGATACTCTTGTTGCTTCCATACTTCCATACTACTGAGTACTGTGAGTAAAAAACTGGCCACCACTGGTCGCGCGGATTTTGTAATTTGTAATGTTTTGTTTTGTTTGCTGAGTTAGGTTAGAATTAAGTTGGTGTTTTGTCTTCAGTCTTTCTCTCTTCCTTTCGTACGAAACCAAACGAAAGGGCCAAGTCAAGCTCAAACAAGATACTTAACATATCTTTAGAGTTGTATTTATTACACTTAAAATTTAAATTTACGTTTGGTTTAATTTATTAGTAAAAATAAAATGATAAGGCCAATCTTTGAGTTTGACTTTTTTATTAATTAACAAAACTTTTAAAAAAACTGTGTTTAATATTCACTCTTCTTGAAATGTGTAGTAAGCCTACATTCAGAAAAATATCAGATGTTGCAACAACTCCCAACTCTCTCCCCCCCCCCCGCGAAAAGTCAAAATCCATCACCAATTAATTAAAAATTACAGTGTTCAGTGTTCCTTCCTATTGTTAATTATTTTGAGATAATTGACCTCCGACCTCCATGTTACAAACCATGTTACAAACTGTAGGCTGGGGACTAATTCTTTACTCTAAAAAATTTGAAAAGTTAAATCTAAAATTTTTTAAAAATTTAGTAGGTATATTTGGAAATTTTCAAAGAGAAAATCAAATTTTTAACATTTAGAATATTCAGTTAATATTCTAAATTTGATGTTATTTGACTTTGATATCATGAAGATACAATAAATATTCAAAGTTTGACATTGTTTGACTTTGACATTTTGAACATTAAATGAATATCAAATAAATATCAAATTTTTGATTTGACATAGTTTGATATATTGAACGTTTATTTGATATCAAATAAATATTCTGTGCTATGTGGGCATGATTTGAAAAGGACTAGGCCTCTGAGTATGATGGTATATTAGTTAAGTTACGGTACCTACCAATTTTTTGAGGACCAATAGGGGTCTCAAGCCTACAGTTCCGCAGAGAACCCAATAAGAATAAGCTCTCGGACAGTGATAGACAGTGTTGTCTTAAACTACTGATTTTATATTATCGGATAAAATCGTCATTCAAAATAAATATTAGGCTACTTAAATATTTCATTAGGCCTACATGTCCTTTTCTGGCCCAAATGTAGGGTAGATGTTTCTATTATTAGTCTTAATATGGGTCTATACAATGGTGGCATCGTCCTGTAATCCAGCTACTAGAAGGTCAGGAATGGAGATATTTATAGGTATACACTGTGGATGCGATGCTCCCTAGTGTAGATTAACGTCCGCACTAGTGAGTACTACGACTATCTGCAGTACTATCCTGATAATTAGGCCCGATTCACACAGAACGGACGTCAGGCGGCGCAGACGTGGCATAGACAAAGTGCGGACATGGCAGAGATGGGGCGATTACAATGCACACAGAAGGGATGGTGAAGGGGCGGTATCACTGTAATGGCGAGAAAAGTTCATGTAGACTAGAAGCTTTGGATTTTGCTTATTTCAGTTGGGCCATTCCATACCAAATCAACAAATAAAAATCAGTTTTCAACCTGACCATCTTGGATTAGTTTGAAATTTGGTATGCTTATTATAGTTCTAACAAATACAAACAGAAAACTATTTTTTGTTTATTTTTATCTCTTCCCGTTTATTTATAATTAATTTTTAAAAACTTCCAAAATCGGCGTTTTTTTACTTGCGGGGATATTTAAAAAAATTCACAGACTGAGTTCTATTCATGCTAGAGAAGGCAGAAAGGTCCCATTTTATTCCTGATGTTCAGGGCTTTAATTTGATATGCAACATGACTATATTCTAAAAGATTCCATTTTTCAAGAAAGTTTTGAAAAATGTTAAGTACCGTATTTAAAAAAAATGGTATTTTTAAAATTCTGAAAAAAATGTATGATGTACTTTACGCTATTGACCATAAATGCTGTAAGTTTCATTATGGGACGGACATGGGATCACACCTAAACACTAAAACTTAGGAGTAATGTAGAAACATTGATCGGAAGAGGATTAACATTCACTATGCCTACACATTGAAACAGCTGCATAATAAGCCTGATTAAAAAAGAAAGTTATATGAAGTAGGCCTACTTACACATACATGGCTAGGAAATTTAAGGAATTGGTAAAAGAAATGGGAATATTATCTCATCCTAACTCTAAACCTGGAAAATTGCTTGGTCAGAAAACCGTTGACTTAGTCAACAGTTTTTACTGTTCTGATGATATCAGTAGACTAATGCCGGGAAAATAGATTTTGTAACCATACTAGCTAATGGCAAAAAAACACAAGTACAAAAGCGATTAGTGCTAAGTAACCTCAAAGAAATTTACTCTGAATTCAAAGATAAGTACACCAATGTGAAGATTGGTTTTTCAAAATTTGCAGATTTAAGGCCTAAGAATTGCTTGTTAGCAGGTGGAAGTGGCACTCATAGTGTTTGTGTCTGTACAATACACCAAAACTTCAAGTTAATGATCAATGGTTGCAGGATATCAAAATTGGCTGAAGAAGAAATAACATATAAGCACTGTATTGCTAGAGTGATGTGTAATCCTCCTTTGCCCAGCTGCTTTTTCAGCGATTGTGACTTTTGTCAAAAATCTGAAACATTGGCAGATCTTTTCAGAGACACTTTTGATGCCAACAATATAGACCAAGTGTCCTACAAAAAATGGATAACAGTTGATCGAACTTCATTGGAAACTATTACATCATCTTCAGAAGAGTTCATCGATTTGTTAATTGAAAAACTTGACCAACTTAAACGACACTCTTTCATTGCAACGCATCAATCCATTTTTCAGAGCAGCAAAAAGAGTAACCTAAAGGAAGGTGAATTTTTAGTAGTTTGTGACTTTTCTGAAAACTATTCATTTGTTGTCCAAGATGAGGTACAAGGTTATCACTGGACAAATACACAAGCAACCGTCCACCCTTTTGTTGCATACTACACAGAAGATGATCAAATCAAACATGTGAGTTTTGGGGTAATATCAGAACACTTAACTTACAACACAATAGCAGTGCATCTCTTCCAAACTCATTTCATTAAATTTCTTAACGGGCAATTTGGCAAGAAACCATAAAAAAAATATTACTTTTTAGATGGTTCAGCAGCACAGTATAAAAACAAAAAAAAACTATAAATCTATGCCACCATGACAATGACTTTGGTATGCCTGCTGAATGGAATTTCTCTGTCACTTCTCATGGGAAAGAAGCCAGTGATGGTGTTGGTGGAACAGTAAAACGGTTGACGGCACGAGCAAGTTTACAACAACCTCTCTCGGAACAAATTCTTAATTCTCATCAATTTACCAGTACGCTAAAAACAACATAAATGGAATTCATTTAAAATTTTCCTCAACAGAAGACCACATCCAAGAACAACTGAAACTAAAGGAAAGATTTGATAAGTGTTGCACCATCACTGGCACTCAAAAATTGCATGCTTTTCTTCCCCTTACCAGAAACCATTAATAATAGTTTAATTGTTATTGCTTCTATGGGGGGGGGGGGGCTAACTTCACGGACCTAACCAAATTTAGTATCAACTTCTTCAGCTGTATGTACGAAGTTTCGACATTTGTGTACATAATATCCGTGGTGCATAACGTAAATTAGTCGTAGTTTCTATTTTCCCCCTATTTTTCATACATTTCCTATTTTCAGAAAAGATTTACACAGGATTAATCCAGATTAAGATTTCATCTTGTAGCATTCATTTGTAGATATAAAATTTGATTATAGTTCAAATTACTTGTTCCCCCATTAACCTTTATTCCGTAACAAATATGAGCGTGTATGTTAGCAAAGTAAACTGTACACAAAATCCCTGTAGTGCATAATGGGTTTAATTAAAAAAGCACCAGATTTAA